TCCATCCATCCATCCATCCATCCATCCATCCATCCATCCATCCATCCGTTATATTCCTCTTGTTCAGAAGTCGGGTCTCAGGGGCAGCATCTTGAGCAGGGAGGCCTAGACATCTCTTGCCACAGCCACCTATTTCAGCTCTTCTGGGAGGACTCTCAAGCATTCCCAGAATAACAGAAAGACATTTAGTCTCTCCAGCATGTCCTGGGTTTTCCCCGGGGTCTCCTCCCAGTCGGACATGCTCGGGGCACCTCCCTAGGGAAGTGTCCAGGGAGCATCCTTACTAGATACCCAAACCACCTCAACTGGCTCCTCTGGATGTGGAGGAGCAGTGGTTCTACTCCGAGTCTCTCCTGATAACTGAACTTCTCACCCTGTCTCTAAGGGAGAGTCCAGCTACTCTGCAGAGGAAACTCCCTTTAACCTCTTGGATCCACGATCTCATTCTTTCTGTCACTACTCAGAGTTCATGACCAGAGGTGAGGGGAGGAACGTAGACTGACCAGTAAACTGAGAGCTTTGTCTTACAGCTCAGCTCCCTCTTCACCACAATGGACCAGTACAGAGTCCACAATACTGCAGATGTTGCACCAATCTGTCTGTCAATCTCACGCTCCATTCTTCCCTCACTCGTGAACAAAACCCTGAGATACTTGAACTCCTCCACTTGTGGCAGAACCTCACCCTCGACCTGAAGAGAACAATCCACCCTTTTCCGACTGAGAATGTCTTTGACTTCCATATTTTCTCAGTAACTCAGTAAGTTGAATAAAATATTTTGTCCATATGCATTGACATTAATTGACAAGACAAGGAGAAAATACATGTTCCCTTGAATCCTAATATCCATTATAAGTTTTGCACTAATCTACTGTGCCTGACCAAAAGCTGTCAGAGCCAGCAGGAGCCTCTAATAACCATTTAACCAGTTAACCGTTGCTTTTTCTACAGTGGGAATGGGGACTATTCTGTGCCTTTTTAAAGCCTTCTCTTCAGACAGGAAGGGGTAGGAACCAGCAAGTTGGATTTCATCAGATTTACAAAAGTTCACTATTCATAAAATAAAATATCTGCTTTGCTTGCCTTAAAGAGAACCAGAGTTGTTTAGTTGTTGCAGCACTGCTCGTAATTGTGAAAAAACAAATGCTGTAAATTCATGGGAGAACTATAACACTGTCCTGAACCTTTGTCAAACGCACACTTTGAGACCAGGTTAAATTACTGCTTTACTAACAAGGTTTCCCTAAGTCCAGAGTCAATCAAGCAAAGGCCATTCCTTTGTTTACAGCCTTTGCTCTTTATCGACTGCTCTGGTCTGATATATGTTGTCTGGTTGTTCAGGATTGTAATCAAATCACTCCTACAAGGCCAAGTGTGGTCACTGCTTCCCACAAAGCTGATCCTGTCACCCTGGTATTGATCTACATCACTGCCTGAGGTCTGCTGCAGATTTCGGTCTTTATCAATGGTCAATAATTTGAAAGTGAAACATGTATTCTGTGAGGTCAAAGATAATAAATATTGGAGCAAAATAAAATTATGGCCATCCATCCATCCATTATCTTCCGCTTGTCGTGAAGTCGGGTCGCGGGGGCAGCAGCTTGAGCAGGGAGGTCCAGACATCTCTTTCCACAGCTGCCTGTTACAGCTCTTCTGGGAGGACTCCAAGCATTCCCAGTCTCATGTCCTCCCAGTCGGACATGCCCAAAGCACCTCCCTATGGAAGCGCAGACGAAGCATCCTTACCAGATGCCCAAACCTCCTCAACTGGTTCCTCTCAATGTGGAGGAACAGCGGATCTACTCTGAGTCTCTCCTGATAACTGAACTTCTCACCCTGTCTCTAAGGGAGAGTCCAGCTCCTGCAGAAGAAACATTTCAACCTCCTGTATCCATGATCTTATTCTTTCGGTCACTACCCAGAGTTCTTGACCAGAGGTGAGGGGAGGAACGTAGACCGACCGGTAAACAGAGAGCTTTGTCTTACAGCTCAACTCCTTCTTCACCACAATGGAACGGTACAGAGTCCACAATACTGCAGATGCTGCACCAATCTGTCTGTCAATCTCACGCTCCATTCTCCCCTCACTCGTGAACAAAACCCCAAAATACTTGAGCTCCTCCACTTGAGGCAGAATCTCACCCTTGACCCAGAGAGAGCAGTTCACCCTTTTCTGGCTGAGGACCATGGCCTCAGATTTGGAGGTGCTGATTTTCATAAAATTGTGGACATTTGGAAACTAAAACATAAAGATGCAAATTTAATGCACCGCCCTGCCTTTCTGTGTGCTCTCCCTCAGGTGGTTTATATCACGGCCACATTCCCGTTTGTCATGCTCATCGTTCTGTTGATCCGCGGTGTGACTCTGCCAGGTGCTGCTGAGGGCATCAAGTTCTACCTGTATCCTGACCTTGAACGTCTGAAGGACCCAGAGGTAGGCAACACTCCTTGCTGCATTTGTATTAACAACCTCTTCACAGGTCTCCTTTTATAGACATTATTCCTTGAGCTGGTTTACATAACATGAAGTCTGTGCATGCAGTGTGCTCAGCATGTCGGGTCTGTCTGGCTTCTCATGAAGTTTCCTTAGTTAAAATAGAAAATTATAACTTGACAATTCCACCAAAAATGGGCCAGAAAGTTAAAACATTACTGAAGTTGGAAATAATTTCACTGCACAAAGGATGTGTGAGATAAATGTGTCTAAAAATCCAGGGGTTTGCAAGAATTTATTGTGCCTGAGTGGAAACAGCCTGCAATAGGATTTAAAAGTGTCCACTTCCTGTAAATTCTAGAGCTCATTTGGTTCTCGATCAGCCTTTTCTTGCACGGACAGCCTCCATAAATTGAGGGTCTTTAGTGGCAGAGCTGCTGCAGCACTGATTAGGACTGAAGTCCATGTGTTTTCAAGATTATAAAGTTAAAAAATTTAGGATTACTGCCATGTATGCCTCTCCTCAGTGGGCCTCAGCCTCTCTCCCTTATTTTGCAGGTATGGATTGATGCCGGTACTCAGATCTTCTTTTCCTATGCCATTTGTTTGGGCGCCATGACGTCCTTGGGGAGCTACAACAAATACAAATACAACTGCTACAGGTGAGGAGTCAGTTTTTAGGGATAGGGGTTAGCGGTAGGGGAGAGCAGGGGGTAAAGGGGATCCTTGTGTGTTCATTAACAAATCCTCCTCATGACATATGTGTGACATAGGGACTGTTTGCTGCTGGGAGCCCTCAACAGTGGTACCAGTTTTGTGTCTGGCTTCGCAATATTTTCCGTCCTGGGCTTCATGGCACAAGAGCAAGGGGTGGACATTGCTGAGGTGGCAGAGTCAGGTACGAGGGTTCTGTAAAGGCGGCAGTGATGGTGGGCGCTGCTTCCTGGTTAACCAATTAAATAACAGCAATTAAAAAAGAGAAAAACAGCAACGAAACCCAAAAGAGAATGAGCCTCTACGTTCATTACGTAAAATTTAGATTTGAATGGATTCCCTGGTTAAACTCAAATGACGGCATCGGAATACGGAAGCTTCCGCAATCAAACACTCCTTGACAACGGCAGAGGTTGAGAAAATATGGACATTATTGGTTGGCCTGTTGGCGCTCATTTAAATAAAGCAAATTGTTATCAAATGACTCATCAGATATCTGATGTTTTTTCCAAAGAGAGACACAACTGAGAGGTTTATGTTTGAGACGTTGTGAGTTGGTTCACAGTGCATCTTGTGCCAAACTTATAGGTTCAACATGTTGTCAGAGTTTTACGTCTGGGTTGTTCCCGTGTTCGTAGCTGGCAAACTGATGCAATCATTGTTGTGGTTTCTGTCAATCTGAGAGGAATTTATTGGTTAATTGTTCTATTTGTTGAGCTGCGGTGAGACCAGCAGCTCGATTGCTTTTTTGTAGCCTTAAGTACGAACATGTGTGAACTTGCTCTGTATATTTTCTCATTAAAAGCCTTCATAAGCCCAGTCTCCTGGAGAATCTCAGGCTCTGACTTCCTAGAAGATTTGCACAAGGATTTAATTTATGCTTGTTTTAAAAAAAATCCAAGTAAAAATGCAATTGTTCTTGTTCTTACTCATTGCCTGCATCCATGTTACATCAAATACAAGCATTAAAACACCAACAGAAGTGGAAGTGTACTTTTAAACACAACCAATGACTTTTCTTGGACAGACTGGTTTCCCTCTTTTCAGTGAAAACACTACAAAGTTCAGACTTAATGCAATGTTTGAATTCATACAAAGCTTACTATGTTTAAAGGAAGCCCTTTTTGGCATCACAGTTTTGTATGATACCTAAGATTTATAATCAGATAATCCAATTTTCTTTGAAGCAAATATAACTTGGCTCCTGCTTCCAGCTCAGTCAATACAAATATTGCACAGTTCTGTACAATCATCATGGAGGGTTGACAGAATTGTTCAATGCCAGTGTTGTTTGTTGAGTGGGCTGATGATCTGTGTGAAACTAGAAGAAAAGGTTTGGTCAGAAGAGCTGGACAACAGGAAACTCCATTTCTTTAGCTGTGAAGGTTTTCAGCCAGAGGAAGGGCCCTTGTGTTGTGGCTGTACCAAGACAGAAAGTTAATTATGCA